CAGCATGGGCTTTGCCTCTTTGGGCTTGGTGGTGAGGTCGAAGGGGCGCTCAGTGCTGGGGCCCCCGGCCTTGAGGGCGTCCCGGGGTGACTTGGGCTCGGCCTTGACCAGCAGGTTGTGGGCGAGGGTGCGGTCCGTGAAGGGGTACAGGGAGTGGGGGAAGTTGGGCAGGAACTGGAACGGGAACATGGAGTGATAAGGTAGGGAGCCCAGCTTCTTCTCCTGCATGCCCATGAAGCCCGGCCCAAAGTACTTCTCGGCGATGGAGGCAATGGCCTTGATGGAGTCGCCCGCGGCGCCCGATGCGCTCAGCAGCTGCTCCTCGGGTGGCGGGAAGCAGGCGTGCTGGGAGTAGAATACAGGCACCTCACCCACGCCGTGCGGGGCCCCCGGGGGCGCGGGGCCGCCCCCGAACTCGGGCTTGCCCTCGGCCGGCTTGCTCTTGTCTTTGGCCCTGTCTCGGTCGCTGTCCACGTCGCTGTCCAGGTCCGAGCCAGTCCCCGTGGTGGTGTCCAGGTCTGTGCCCGTGGTGGTGTTGATGTCCTCAAAGTCACTGCCGTCGGACACGTCGCTGTGCCTGGCCTTCAGCTTCTCCACGTACGCCTCCTCCAGGACGCCCTCAAACTTCTCGTCCACCCCCGGGGCCACCACGGTGCCCTGGCCACTGTTGCCGACAGCAGCGACCAGGGGCAGCGCGGGGTTCCCCAGGGGGCTGGGTAGCTTGGCGTCCTGGGTGTGGTTGAGTGGGCTCTTGAGCAGGGGCGTGGGAGGTAGCAAAGGTGGCCGGGGGTACAAGGACGGCGGGAAGATGCCGGGGAAGCCAGGTGCGAGCGCAGGAAAGGCCGGGGGTGCCGCTGAGAAGGGCAGCCCGCCGGGGTGCGGCCGGGAGGGGAAGTACTCGCTGAAGCCCAGGCTGGTGTGGTTGAGGGTGGGAGTGGGCTTCGCCTTGTCCAGCATGGGGCTGGGGGTGAGGGGCAGGCCGGACGCAAAGATGCTGCCGGGCACGTAATGGTTCTTGCCCTCGCAGAAGCGCCGGTGCTTGTTGAGGGAGGAGGTAGTACTGAACATCTGCCCGCAGTCCTTGCACTTGATCTGTGTGCGGCAGTCAGCATGCATGCGCTTGTGCCGGCACAGGTTGGAGAACTGCGTGTAGGACTTGTGGCAGACCTCACCTAAAACATCAGCAGAAAGCAACAACAAACACGATATGAAATTACCAGGAAAGCCTAGGGGTGTGTGTGTGTGTGTGTGTGTGTTTGTGGCGGCATACTGTGGATGTGCATACGTGTGCATGGTGTGTGCACGTGCACGTGTGCAAGTGTGTAATGCATGCACGTGCATGAGTGTGCACCGCGTACATGTGTGTGTGAGTTGTGCATGTGTGGGCATGCATGCATATACATGAGTGGGCATGCATGTACGTGTGTACGTGCAGTTGCATCATGCATGCACATAAATCCACGAAAGGTGTATGCCCACGTGTGCATGCACACATGAGTATGCCTAGGTGTGGGTACACAGATGCGTGTGTGTGTGTGTGTGTAGGCTCAGGTGTGAGGGCCCTACATGCCTCTGTGTGTGTGTAGGCGCAGGTGTGAGGGCCCTGCATCCCTCTGTGTGTGTGTGTGTGTGTGTGTGTGTGTGTGTGTGCACATGTGTGCCTCTTTCCCTGGGGCTGCCCTTGGTGGAGCAGCACAGACTGACTCTGGGGTGACTGTCTCTCTGACCATCGAGTAGATGGGAGACAGGGCCTGGGGGGGGGGTCCCAGCAGGATTACCAAGCACCCTCTTTCTGCCTTTCCCTCAGCAACATGGGGTGCCCAGGACAGATGGCTCAATTCTGCTGGATAAAGGGCCTCTCACTGAAGGGTAGGGCTGTGGGGGGCTGTGCCCTACTCCCCAGGGGGCTTCTAAGCGGGGTGGGGGAAGCACTCCTAAGGTCTTTCAAGATAGCAAACCCTTCCCTCGAGTGCAGGCTCCACAGCTGGATGCAGTCTACTGGAGGCCTCTTACCCCAGGACGCCCCCTACATCCATCTCCCGTCAGTCACAGCTGCTCCAGTGTGTGTGTGTGTGTGTGTGTGTGTGGGACCTTCACCTCCCGCCTAGGTCTGCTGCTGCCAGAGGTTCCAGACAGCCCTTCCTTCTTTGCCCCAGGCCTGTGAGCTCTGTGCCACATGAGGGCGGCCTCAGGAGGGCACCGGACAGTGAACACTCCCGGGGTCCTTAGGAGGTCCTGGCTCTGGGAAGTAGAGAGGACACACAGCACACGTACTGCACACACATAGTGCATGCATGCACAAACAGTACACACACAACGCACACACAATACATGCACACACCACACACTCAGCACACACACACTGTGTACACATGCACACAGGACACACACCGCACAAAAAATACATGCATGCACACACAACACACACAATGCATACATGTATACACAGCACATGCACAATACACCCATAATGCACACATGAACATAGTACACGCACAACACAAACACAATACATGCATGCCCATACAGTACACTCACAAGACATCTACAATGCAGGCATACACAAAGTACATGTACAATATATGCATCCCCATATAGTACACACAACACACAAAACACACACATGCACACAGTGCACACATGTACAACACACACAATGCATGCACGAACACACAGCACATGCACAATACACCCCCAATGCAGGTATACACACAGTAGGCACACAACACAAACATAATACATGCATGCACCCAGAGCACATTCACAACACACACAATGCATGTATACACACAGTACACACACCACTCAAACACAATGCATGTATGCATGCACAGTACATGCATAACACACACAATACATACATGCACACAGCACACGCACACACAGCACATGCATAACACACAGTGCATGCACATACACATAGCACATGCACAATACACCCATAATGCAGGCATACACACAATAGGCACACTACACAAACATAATACATGCATACACCCACAGCACATTCACAACACACACAATGCATGAATGCATACACACACAATACATACACTGCACGTGCACACACTGCACACATGCACTCAGCACACACACAGAGTACACACACAACACATATAAAATGTCTGAATGCACACATAGTTCACATCCAATACATACTCAACAATATTCACAAAGACACTCTTACGCTGGTGCATGCATCCACTATGCACACAGAACACACACACACACACACAAAATGCATGCATGCACAGACAGGTACACACAACATATACTCAACAATACTTCCTACATACACAGCCACTCCTACACTGGGGCATGTATCCACCAGGCACACAACACACACACAATGCACACACACATGCACATACATAAACTTGTCCACGAGGCACACACAATGCACACACAACACACACATGCACATAACACATATACATATACATCTGGATACACATGTGCAGGAGCACACACAACAGCATCTCGATAATACCCACACAGACACACAGGCACACATGTGTACATAAAACTCAACCACTCACACATATCCACACACAACGGCCCCCCCCTCCCCAGTGTCTCACACTCACATGAGCACATGCATGCACACCCACCCTCTCTAACACATGAACGCACAGTGTGTGCATGTCTCTCTCTGCAGGGCAATTTGCCTCCTAAACGCAGCCCCAGTGGAAACAATGATTCCAGCATGTCCCGTGCTCTCTGCAGTGCTCGGCCGGCCGATGTCACGCTAGGCTGGCTGGGAGCCTTTTCTCTGCGATTACCATGCTCTCTAATCACAATATCTATTTATATTAGCCGCTCGGCCTTCCTGGCTGTCTGGCATGGCGGGAAGTTTTCAAGGCTGAGGGGAGAAGAACTTTGCCTCATTTAATCAAATCTGCCCTTTTTGGGCGGCTGCTAACAGTGAGGGCCGCTCCGCAGGGATAGTCTATAAATACCTTGGCCATGGGCTTGAGGCAGGGGAGCGTGGCTGCGGCTAACTCAAGGGCCCTGGCTGAGCCCTGGCCATCCCAGACCCGGCCAGCAGTGCCACAGCTCCTGAGCTCAGAGCTGGCTATCTGCTCTGGGTCCCTTCAGGGCCCACAATCTTCTCACACTCCATCCTAAGATGGCCTCAGGGACACTGGGCTCGCCAGAGGAGGAGTGGAACCCTGGAAGCTGGGGAGGCCTGCCAGGGCAGAAGGAGGCCCAGTCTGAGGTGGGGCCCACTCCTGGTCAGCAGTCTCCGCTCTTTATAGTGGATGTACAGACACATGCCGACACAGACAAACACCCCAACGCTCACACGCACTCACAACACATCCACACACATGCATCTACACAGTCACAGGGGTGAGGGACCATGGGCACCTGTGAAGACTGCAGTGTGGTGTGGGGGGCTCCCGATGTCTGCCTGCTGCCTGTTCAGGCCTGCTCCCTGCCCGAGCCCACAGTGCCTGGGAGACGCAGGGTCTACGCCACATGTCTAAGCTAGTTTATAAAATCTGCATTGCCCTGAACAAGGCTCGCAGAGGCACACAGCCCATGTTGGGGTTTCCTCATCAACGTCACCCCTTGACAAAGAGCCGACACCCAGAAGTGAACATGAAACCCAGTCTAGGACACTGGCACTGGCAGGTCCCAGGCCCAGGTGTCCCAGTCCTCCCTCAGCCCGCCAGGGTTTCCTGAGCTGCTCTGTGGAGCCTGTGGGGGCGCTGTGGCTCCTGGGCTTACATCAGGAGGAGGATCCTCCCAAAGGCTCGTTTTCATGCCCAGAAAGCCAACAGCCGTTAAGCCTGTGGACCATTTTCTGGACTCAAAGCTGGCATTGAACCTGAGGGCTATGACCTACGGCACCGATGGATGCTCCTCCCACGCTGGGCATGTTGGGAGGCTGCCACTGTCCTTCCTGGAACAGCCTGCTGAGAGGACCCCTATCCAGTGCCCGAGATGACGACAGTGGCAGGCCAGTGAGTCGGTGTCCAGTCCCCCATCTGGAGGATCCAGTGGGTTGGTGTCAGAGTCCTGAGCACCCATATCGGCAAGACCCCCTGCCCCTAGCTCCAAGATCACCTCCCGCAGCCAGCTCTTCCCATGGATGTCACTGGTCCAGGGGCTGAGCACACCCCAGGGCAGGAGCACAGCCCTTGAGCTAGCTCTCCGATCTGCACGGTGACCCCAGGGCCTGGCTGATGGGTGACCTGATGCCTCGGTTTCCCTCTCTGTCAGCTGGAGGGGCTACTGGCCCCCATGCCACGGTGGGTTTGGTAAGGGTGCCGTGTGAAGAGGCATGGGGATGCTGGGTCAGCACAGTGCATCCATGACAGGGAGACGTGGTGCTGGTGTGGCAGACAGGGACCATCAGCAGCTTCCAGGCTCCCCGAGAGGCAGGCCCAGGCCCCAGCACGGGCTTTCCACACCCCGGCACCTTCTTGCTCAAGCCCCAAGCACTCCTGCCCTTGGTTTGCAGCGCCCCATCTTGAACCCATCCTCAGACACCCCATGGTACCCACTCTGTGCTTCCTTCCAGTCCCCTGAGCTCCTTAACCCCACACCCCTGTTCCTAGGGCCCTTGAACAACCACCACCAACTCCCTGAACTCTCTAAGCCGGCACCACTGTGCCCTGAGCTCCTCCATCTGGTCCCACACCTCTGTTCCCTGAAGCATCCTTTTACCCAAAGCCCCTGCCCCCTGAGCCTGCTGAACACCCCCTCTCCCCCCACCCAAGGGAGGGACACCTTTATTTACCGAGGCCCCACTGTGGGGCTGAGCACTGAGCACTCAGGGAGCCTCGGCTGCAGCAGGCATTGAGGGTGGCCCTGGAATCCAGGGGTGCGGGGTGGGGGGTGGGGGAAGGCACAGGGGCTGTGGACACTGGGCCCACATGCCTGCTAGCTGCTTCCTGCCACTGCAGAATGAAGCCAAGGGCCAGGCACACGGAAGGGAAAACCAGGGGGTGGCACTCCGTCAGAGCAGGGCCGACGGGGCTGAGGGAGCAGGCCGGCGGGGACGACTTACATATGAAGGGCTTGACGGTGCTGTGGATGTGTTTGTGCTGCTTGAGGCCTGAGGACGTGGCGAAGGTCTTCCCGCAGTCAGGGCAGGCGTGCGCCCGTGCGCCCACGTGCTGCGAGCGGATGTGTCGCTGCAGGTTGCTAGGGTCCGTGAACACCTGGGGAGACAGGTGCCATCAGACACAACCATCCCCCCACCTCCCACCTGTGCCAAGCCTGCTGGGACAGACAGGCCCTGCTGTGACCCCTGAGCATCCTCTGCTCCTGAAGGATGCTGGCCGGGGCTGCAGCCTACGCAGTCATGTCCTGTAGGCTTCCATGGGCTGGTTTTGCAGAAACAGCCAAGGCTTTCTCCCTAGGCTTCCCCGGCACAGAACACAAGTCCCCACGGACCCCCCGGTGGGAGCCCCACATCAGATGCACCGGCTGAGAATGGCACTGGTTTCTCTTCTCAAACCCCCTGCTGTCTGACTCGCAGCGACCCGATAGGACGAGGTGGAAGATCCCCGTGACTTTCTTAGACTCGAACTCATCATGGGAGTAGAAAGCCTGGCCTTTCTCCCATGGAGTTCCCAACTTCTGACCCTGGGGTTTGTAGCCCACCGCATCGCCACCATGCCCCAGGGCCCCCAGGGCCCCCAGGGTGAGACTGTGACCACTGATCCCGACTGCCCCTTCTGAGTGAGTGCCGAGAAAGCACTGATGGTAGGGTGGCCCGAGACAGGCAATGCAACCAACAAGCCATGGAGCTGAGGGCTTGGGCTGTGAGGCTGGGGCCCGGTCCCTGTCTCAGTCCTGTGTCACAGGATGCTCTCTGAGGTGCCCTTTCCTCTCCAGCAAATAAAGATCCTGATGGCCTTCGTGGCCGCTGAAGCCATGCTGACCTACCTCAGGGCGGACAGAGGGTGACAGGGCCCCTGGCCCGTCTGCAGCCTGGAGGCCAGGTGTGTGCGTGAGCGGGATAAGCATGCAGGCCCACTTACCTGCACCCGAGGCCACGCAGGTGTGTGAATTAGGCAGGTGTGTATGTTCACCCGCCTGTGCCCAGGGCCCCATGCATGAACGATGTGTGTGGGTGGGAAGGGGGCGGGCGCACACACTCACCCATCTGTGCCCAAGGCTCCACGTGGGCAGGGCAGGCGGGCGCGCTGGCCTGTCTGGCCCTGAGCATGGGCGTGCGCGCACACATTCTTACCTTCACGCAGTTTTCACATTCGAAGCGCTTCCCGCTGTCATGGGACATCTGGTGGCGGATGAGGTTGGACTTCCAGTTGAAGGCCTTGGGACACTGGTCACACTTGTACTCCCGCTCCTCCGTGTGGACGATCATGTGCTGCTCCAAGCTGCACAAGGCGTGGGGGTCACCGTGGGCCGCTCTTCTCAGCGACCCACCCGTGGGGCTCCCACCACTCCTTGCTGGGGACCAGAGCAGGCCTGCCATTGCCTGGCCCCTCCTCTCTGGACAGGGCGCTGAGGGGTGGGGGTGGGGGGGCCAGGAAGTGGTGCCAAGATTGAGCCCGGGTCAGAGGTCAGGCCATCCCAGGCAGCCAGGGACCACCCCCACCCCAGGCTAAGCTTGGGCTTCCAGAAAGAGGGGCACAGAAGCTTCAGTCACCCACAGGAGAGCCAGGACACCCCTCTGCCGTCTGGGAGGGGTGCACTCCTGCTGAACCACCCCCACTCTGTCACACCCATGGGAGGAGTCGGGGAAATGAAGGCGGGTTTGTACTGAGCCTTCGTGGGGTCAGGAGCTCTGGCTGCTCAGGGGCGCCCTCTGCAGTTGAGCAGCGGCCGTGAAACCCTCCCAGGGGTCGGCCGCACCTCCTCTTGGCCCAGGTATGACCGTTAATCTTCATGAGCCACGGAGAACTGCATCCCGGCCTGTTAATTACGGGCCCAGCCATCCATTAAGCACCGAGGCATGGGAGTTCTTTACCATCAGGAGATTGTATCTTTTCCCTGTTGTTAATTGTGATTTATGTGTTTATTTAAAGAAAACACGGACCCTCTTGAGCCGCGCTCCCTGCGAAGGCCTCGGGTGGGATTTGCTCACACACCGCTTGTGGCCACCATCTGCCGGGGAGGGGTCCAGCCTCCGGGAGATGCCCGGCGCGGCCAGCACAGGTTCCAAAGGAGCACGTGGCGGGTTCCAGGCTGCATGGCCTTCTGCCCGATGCTGCCAAGCTGTCTGGGGAGTTTCCTGGAGAGGGTGTCCTCCTGGGCTTCAGAGCACTGGACTGAGTGACCCAGCTTCTCCTTGTCCCCTGGAGCCTCTTCCCAGGGGACACCCCCCGCCTCCCCAGCCCTACACCCTTCCTGTGCTATCAGGACTTCACACGCCACCAGTAGAGGTAAGGACCAGCCGGCACCTTGGGGATGAGGGGCCAGTGGTGTCCCTGTGCTCCCCGCTATTTGAGAAGCCCCATCACTGGGCGGTGGGGGTGGGATGACACACACACATGCCACAGCAGTGGGCATGTTCCAGACATGACCAGGA